TGATTTTAACAATATTTTTTCCAATCAATGGATAGATTTTCATCCATGATTTCAAGGAGGAATGTACAAATAAATCAATCCTAATTAAAATTGTAATACAAGTAAAAATCCATTTTATAGATTAGGATTTTTAAATTAGAGGTTTTCAGATTCTCTTAGATATGCAGAAAAACCTAAAGAAAATTACTTCAGTTTTTATTATATTACATATACGATGTAAAATCGTTATATTATTAAGAGAATTTTAAAAAATTTCTATTAGAAGTCACGCTATTTATATCACCTTGAATCAAGAAAGTTCGTTGCCACGCCTCAATTAGATTAAGAAGGCAAAAATCTTGAAATTTTCCTATTACTTANTCAAACAACCAGAATCTCCATTATGCGGCAGCAATAAAAACCAGTGCAATCAATCTACTCAATAAAATCTCTGTGTACGCAAGTTCTTTGTGTGTATTAGAAAATACTTGTTTGATAATCAAACTTGTGCTTATCCGATGGTACACCTATGATAATCAGATTTTTACTATTACAGTGAGGGTAGAGTCTTTATTAGCCCCTGTTTGGGCTACATTATTTTTTTCATTCTTATTCTTCTACTCATTTTCAACCACATATTCTTCCATAAAATAATATTTTTCATCACATCAATAACTTTTCCTTCTTTTTCAACCACATATTTTCCATCATATCACTTCAAAAAAATGCATTCTTTTATTTTAATGTGCGCCAAACGGGCTCTTAAAACGAAAAAAGCAGCACCAACTTTTGCTTACAAAACAATAATTTCTCATTTGTAGTGTCGGAATTTGATTATGAACAATTCATCTGTATATTTATATTGTTACGAAAGAAATTTATAATAGCATCGGAATTTGATTATGACCAATTCTCCTGTAAATTTCTTGCCAACTTGTTTTGAGTCGCTGATTACGGCATAATTAACAAGTCTTGTTGGCATTATTTACGTTATTCCTAAAAGTTAACAAGTAGGCTAGAATTCTATATGAATATATGGAAAACTCTATAAAAAATGAAGAAGAAAACAATTAAAAATGGCTTTAAAAATGAATACTTTTAGAGAGGAGCCTCCATTGATTGACCTTAGTTCCATAGGATAATATTTTTCTATGCATTTTCTTATGAAAAAAGAAGAAACGATTGTCCTAACCGCACTTCGATAGAAACAGCAAGGAGAAAACTATCAAAATTCAAAAGATGTTATATTATTTTAATAAATAATGAAATTGAGTCAGATCTTTAGGAGAAAGAAAAATGTTTCTGTTTGTCTTTCTCTCCAGGTTAGAATCTCTCTCTCTCTCTCTCCCTCCCATTAACACTGCATTTCATGCATCATCAAATAAGACCTAATTTAGCCCCCCGGGGCACATCCAAGTTGGCAAAGGATGGGCACTGCTGGGCTTGCAACCTCAGGGTGGGGAGTTCGATTCCTGGATGGAGCAGCTGAGCGTTGTAATACTCAATTTGGGTGGAGTAGCTTGGTGATGTAATATCCATGGAGGAAGGCTCCCTTGGG